GCGGACACTTTTTTGGCTGAGTGGCCCATCTTGTTATGTACTATCTTTGGTTATGTGCAAGGAAAGATTCCGTAAAATTATGGTAGTGATATTATTCTCACTAACTGTAGTGTGAAGTTAGCTTTGTTGAGCAGTTTTAAAATGTGGGTCAAATGGAACGGTGATAAAGAAAACTGTTCTCATTGTTTGAAGCAGACAGTGAATTTATGAATTCTAATAAAAATGCCTTTTGTGTTTTTACTAAAATTATACGAATCTCAAACTGTTCTTCTTGATCAGGACATACTGAGTGCAGTGTTTTATTTAGTAATCCCATGAACATTTAAAGAAACCGCTTAAAGCTCCTCATAGATTTTAATTTAAATATTTTTTAAACAGAATGTTCAAGAACTTCTGAATGTACACTCTTTGTATTATATGAGTTTTTGCCTCTTGTCAGGATTGATTTCTTTGCCGTGAAAGTTTGCTCATGCCAGGAGATGTTTTTGACATAAAACAACATTGTTGTTGTTATTGACATAGCGGTGAATAGATTTTGTAAAAAAAACAACCCAACCTTTATGATAAAAAGCAATAAAAGACTAATTCCCCTCTTCTAGTAGTAGTAGTATAGGGTTTTACGGCGCTCGCAACTGCGTAAGGTCATATGAGCGCTTCCCCTCTTCTTTACAGGACTAATGAATGAAAATGTCAGTCCAAACGCTTATTTTCTGTTTCCGCACCACAGGGAAGTCGTACCAGGCTCGCATCGCACCGAGTCATCTCAACGCCTACCTCAATCTGGCCAACCTGGTCTCCAAAGACCCCGCCAGACTGGACAAAGCCGAGCAGGTGAGACTGACTGTTTATTGGCCGTACGTGCACACTGCCTACTTCCCCCGTGATAGGGAGGGGGGCACGATTAAGAGTATTGTTATTGGTTTAGTAATAGTCTTCCCCCGTGATAGGGAGGGGGGCTATATCTCTTTGTTGGAGTGAGGGGGGGTTGCAGATTTCTGATATGTGTGGGCAGAGCAGTCCTGATACATCATAATGTGTATATATATAATATTCATTCATAACTGTCCAAGTTGGCCATCTGTTCTCAAGGAAAAAAGTGGTTGTGTTGGATAGTTGATGTCTTGGACAGTGACATTATAATGAAAAAAACAAACTGCAAGGCGTTTGGGGGGGGGGGGAGTGGTCATTTGTACAGGCCTAAAGTAAGGGCTCCGCTTTTGAAATTCCTTATTTGTAGACAAATAATGCAGTAAGCGCATATGGAAATTGAGATACAATTATATTGGCCTGTGAGAGGTTATGAAAGAAAAGAAAAAAGGAGGGGTGGGTGGTAATATAACATGCATGAAATGAAACAAAAACTGTTGTAAGCTTTATGCACCCATGAGGTGAAGTGAAAATGTTATGGTTTTAGAATGTGAACCCAGTAAACCTGTATTATGATAATCTCTACTACAGTGTACAGCCTGATGACATTGGTGCTCACATAAACGTGGGACGAACCTACGTGAACCTGAACCGGAGTGCTCCGGCTGAAAAAGCCTACCTGAAAGCTATAGACTTGTTCCCGCCCATAAAAAAAGGTGAGACAACCTGGTATAGTTGGTCTGCTTGGTATGTTATGTCAAAGAGTCTACATAACAAGAGGGGCCACTTCTCTCTTTGAGCCAATTAAAAAAGTGTCCTCAAAATTCGGTGGCGCCCTCTTCGCAAAAGCGCACCCTTTGCGAACAGAGTTACCCTACTTGAGTTTAAAAAATCAAAGTGAAACTAGCAAGTTTTGGAATAAATT